GACAGTTTCTTTTGGAACTAAGTTTTATCTCTTTTTAGACAGTTTCTCTTGAAACAAATTTTGTCTCTCTTGAGACAGTTTCCCTTGAATCAAATTTTGTCTCTCTTCAGACAGTTTCCCTTGAAACAAAATCTTTGAATATGTTTTCCTTTAAACAAATTCCGTCTCTCTCGAGACAGTTTCTTTTGGAACAAAGTTTTGTCTCTCTTGAGACAGTTTCTCTTGAAACAAATTTTGTCTCTTGTGACAGTTTCCCTTGAAACAAAGTTGTCTCTCTTGGGACAGTTTCTCTTGAAACACAAAAAACATTTGAAATTGAAACAAAAAAAAAACCTTTGAAAATGTTTCTCTTGAAACACCAAACCTTCGAGTTCAGTTTCGCTCAGCTCAAAGGCACATCATTTGCAGCATAGCTTAAGTCGAGAAAAGCTATCTGTCAACGAAGACCTTTCGAGTTCGATCTCATTCAGCTTGAGTACCTATCAACCACTTGGTGAAGTCAAAGAATTATTTTCTAGTCGAATTTTCAAACCAATGTCTTTAAATTGAGAAGAAGACCAAGATCGACCAAGATTGGTAACAAAGAGACACTTTTCGATTCACCCACGATTTCAACTTCACGAAAAATGATATCATGCTCAATGGATTGACTTAGTGTCACAACAAACATTATCAAGTCTCAAATCAAAGAGAACCGGACAAAAATTTGTTGTCTTTTTCATATTTGCATATTCTTATTAACACAAAAATGTGCAAAGAGGGGCAGTTGTAGACACCCGTTTTTGTCCGAGTCTAAAAAAATTATATTATATTATTATTAATTTTTTTATTATTTTTGCAAGATTTTTGCTTAACCCTCACCATTCCACAAAATATTATTAACTACCTACTCCATTCGATCATGCCAACCACTACTCCCCTAATTGCCGACCCCACCCACCACCTCACACATCTGTCACATGTTTGCTTCTTTTTCTCTAAAAAATGAACGTGGGAATTTTGGTTTAAAGGGCAATGCTTTAAGCTCATGAGAGGGGGCTCATCATAAATACATAAGACTTTTCCATATTGAGGGGGGCGACTGGAAGCTGTTGGCTTGCAATGGACCAAAGGTTTTTGGCTTTTTACTACCACCACTCTTCCGCCTTCATGCGTAACCTCTCTCTCTCTTTCCATCGACCACTCAAATCAAAGATCACAACAGAACTCAAACAGAAGCAGCAATGTTCCCAGGTATATTCATGCGTAAACCCGACAAGGCAACGACCTTGAAAGAGCAGGTGAAGATGAGGGCGGTGATATACGCGTTGTCTCCGTTCCAGCAGAAGATAATGAGTGGGCTGTGGAAGGATCTACCGGGCTGGATCTCCCACAAGGTCTTTGAGAATTGGATCAGTGCTATTCTTCTCCTCACCCCTCTCGTTGGAACCTACACGAAATGGGTTTGTTGGAGGTGAAGCATGGTTTGCTTCAGGTTGCAGAAACCTTGGATTTTCTTCATAACAATGCACATGGAGTTTCATTTCGTCACATGGAGCTTGGAAGCTTGGTGGGTTTGGCTTTACTGTTTCAAAAGATCAGGTCTTGAATGATTTGGCTAATGTGCCAACCTTTCATTTTGCAATTTGATTTGTTTGGTTCGTAAGGCTACTGGACATGAGTGGAATTGTTTGCTTTTAATTTTTGGGCAAATTATCTTTTGGTCACTTGACTTTATTATTAATCACATGTTAGCTTCATTTGTCTTTTAAGTTTGGCATTATATTATACATGGGTTCCATTTTAGTCATTTAAATATTTGTTTTTATATTTCAGTGCCTTACATTTTTATTCCTTTTTTATTCCTTTTTTTATTTTTTAAATTATTATTATTTCTTTTTATTTCATATTATTTTTATTTTAGAACTTTTTAAATAATTTTTTTCTTAACCTTTGATTTATTTTTTTTTCATTTTCTTTATTTTTTTTATTTTTTATCTCATTTTTTCCCTTCGATTTATTTATTTTCTTTCTATTTTTCTTTTATTTTTATTTTTATTTTATTTCTATATTTTTCTTTGATTTATTTAATATTTATTTATTATTTCTTGACTAACATTTTCGACTCTCTTTTTTAGAAATTCCAACCAATCAGAAGTAAATAATTCGAATCGGGTTTTTAAATTTTTAATTTAAATTTCAAATTTTCGTAATTAAAGACAACCGACAAATTAATTGGTACCGAAAGGGTGATTCAAGGGTGTTAATCATTCCTTGACCGTAACCGACTCCCGAACCCGACACATTTCTGGTACAACACAGATCAAGTAAGATGGTATCCGGTCATCATAAATATTTTTTTAAAATAATCGGTGGCGACTCTAACCCAATTAATTCGAGTCGAAGCTCAATTCCGGGTCCAACCGAAAGACGGCCCCGATAGATTTTTTTTTAAATTCGTGTTGAATGCAGTGTTGTGGATGCAATGTTTTTCACAAGCTGGTGGATAACCTGAATCTGTTTCATGGTATGAAATGCTATGTCAACCCCAGTTTTGATTATAAAAGGGCTCGCGGAGGGAACGTCGGATTCAAGTTGTTCGACGAGGAAGACGATGGAGATGCCGATGTGTTTTGATGACTTCTGGGAAACTGATGTCTTTCTTGTTTGTGCTGCCCTTTGCGTGTCTTGGTGTGGTTAAATAAGTCAGCTAAACACACTATTATACCATTATAACAATAGTGTTTGATGTTCAGCTAAATGTTATCTAATTATGATCCTTTTCTCTAATGAAAATTCCAAGCATATGTGCTTAGATATAATTTATTAGAAAGAATTGTAAAATAAATAAATCAATTTGTCTAAATTTGGTGATTGCCATGCCTAGTGTTCTTCACATTAAATAGACCAGGGGTATGAAATTCAACCCACCCTGTGTTAACACAGGGATGCCCTGTAATGTACAGTCTATATAGGATGAACCAGACTTGCTCCCACCATGTTCCCTTGTCTTCGGGTTTTGTATTGAACCTATACCTGCCCCGACTTCGATTCCCATCTTTCCCGTCTTTCGGTATTGAACTTAACCCACACAATGATACGAACATTATTAAATAGCGAAACTTAGGTAGTAAGAGCACAAGGAAGCGTTGTTCGAGTTCCCAATATCTTCCCACCAAGACCGGGAAGGTCTCTTGTCCAGGCAAGTGGCTTACTTTTCCGTTATCTACCGCAATGGGGTATTTGAGTAGGTGTCCCTGTAATGGCTTAAAAGCGTCACTTGTGTACCTTAACCAGTTCTCTGCGATTTTGTTAACAGTCTTCACGCAGATAAAATTTTGGAGTTCATTAAAGCAGTCATCAATCTTTTACATGTGTTCGGCCCATAGTGACATTCTATATCCGTAAACCTGCAGGGTCATTCGTTAACCTAATCAACATCATTTCTCCAATAGATACACATATCATTGCATCTAAACATCAACACTCACGCAACCAAAGTTCTTACCAAAAGTTTAAGAACTTACCGTATGAATATGAAACAGAGATGGCAAGGACGAAAGTACGAACCTGACTGTGCGGATGTCTGTTCTTCTCACCCCATGTGTAATAAGGGCAAAACTCACATTGCTATCTCTGTGTCCCTTGATCCTGCCAAAGATCGTTGATTAATATTGGCAGATCCCATTATCGCATACTCTCATCTACTATCATTCCCTTAGAATGTATAAAAATCATAAACCGTTTGAACTTTTGTGAAGTCGAAACCTGAAAATAATGATTTTTCTTTACATTCTTAGTTCCGTACAGATCCTCGATTCAAATCAAGTTCTAAAAGTCAATTTAACCAATCCCGTAAAGCTGAAAACAAAGGTGAACTTGTTTTCGTTCTAGCTTGAACCAAGCGAGCCAACACAATCAAGTTCTAAAAGTCAATCAACTAATGATATAAACAAATAACATGGTAGAGCTGCTGTTCGATTACCGTTTCACCATGGTTATAGACTGGAGTGAACTCGGCTTAGAATCTCCGAAAATATCTTCCCTACTACCAAGGCAGTAGAAATTTAGGTAATCTTGTGCATGAGAATTCTCAATACCCATTGTTTCAACTCTTGTGCTACGATTCTGTACATCATTTGAATCGCCTGTCCCTGAAAATAAGAAAAAAAGAAACTATGATACTTGGTAAAACAATGAAACAGTTAGCAAGGACTAGAAATAATGATGAATCGTCGATAAGTGCCAATGAGTTCGATTTTACACTCTTCCTCTCTGATTCTAGGCTACGTTACAACTAGTGTAAGGCACAATCACTATTTCATTCTAGTTATAAACGATCAAGAAAGGAAAGAGGGAACAATCATAGTCAGATTACCTGGCAAAAGAGAATCTCTTGCACGGAGGCTGAAGTAGGGGCGCCCTAGGGCCACATTGTTATAACAACATATACTGCAAATCTCTCCTTTGCTCTTATCTTACTAGCAATCTTCAACGCCAACTCCATAGGAATTAAATTGTCAGCACCTAAAAATACCCCACCAAAAGAAAACAAAGTCGCGCCTCTCAGAAACAGAAAGCAAAACAGTAGCGGTAGTAAACTAGACATCCTATCACATACGATTATATGTCACCAAAAATAACACCTTTTCATAATAACAACACGATTTTTACGATTATATGTTTCTTAAACTTGCTTCTTTGAATTTAACCTGGATGCTTGCGAGTCCACAATTACACATTTCTGCTGCCATAATGGGGCGACAGCATGAAACCGACGAGTGCTTGAAAAACTTTAAAATTTTTGCTAAATCTAAAATATTATATTTTCTACTAATTAAATGATTTTAATAATTAAAAGAATAATCTATGTTCTTGTAAATTTTGAATTCAAAACATAATATTTAAAAAAAATTCAAATTAAATATTTTCCTTAGACTGGATTTCTGTATTATATATTTGCTAAAGAGTACATATATATATATTAACAAAATAAAATTTTTGTATACCGGTGAACACAATTAATAAAACGAATAATTAATTTTCCAAATTTCGTGCACTTCTCCTGCAGCAAAGCTTCGTGCTAACCAAACATCTTGTTCCTCTCTAGCTAATAACTAAAAACTGACTGATATTGCAAAGTTCAAGGGATCATAATTCCCAGATTCTAAAACCATATAAACACATTCATGCTACATAATGAATCATTCATTTGCTTTTCGGACCACGAAGCAACTGAAACGAGGCTCCTTTCCGCTGCACCGATCGACACCATTTCAACTCGAGAAGTCGTACTTCAACATTTAGTGACAGTCGCCTACTCTTTGGTTTGAAATTGGGGGAACGGCCCTTATCATTAGACTCTGGACAAAGGCTATCATCTGCATCAAAAGAGTTTCGAATTAATAACTAAATCTGCATGCTCAATCGACGGTTCAATGCTCTAATGCTTTCATCTTAGAACATAATACTGATTACGATCAAACAGTGTTCTTACCGAGGCAAACCCGACACACATGATACTGAAACCGGGGAAATAAAACGGGGCTGTATCCGACAGGAACAAAGCTGGAAGATTAATGAGTAAACTATGTGAGTCCAAAGTTAGAATGAGACTGCAGAAGAAGTTTAGTCGAGTTTTAGTTAACCTGTTAGAGGGGAAAAAACCAAGGGAGAAGCAACATTGGCAAAGGAACCTATGCCTGATATAAACCCTTGAGCCTTCCCCTGAGAAAATGGTCAGGTATTAGTCTGTTTTAAACAAACAAGTAAACAAAACCGAAGGAACTAATCAAAATAAAATATTTGTGTCCGACACATTTAGACATGATGCTCCTTATCTGCAAATACCTGCTCACAGGGTCCGACTTGTTTCGACACGATGCTCCTTATCTGCAAATCTCAAAGAAAAAAAGTACGTTAAAAATATGGTAGAAGACAGATTTTTTTTGAAGATCGTAGCATTAAATGAAGTAAAAAACTTACACATGGCTGTGAAAAAACATATGCCAAGGAGAACATAGCTGCTGCATAAGGAACCTATCATTTTACAAAAGAAGAATGTATTAGGCCATCAGCCGTATTAAGATATCTAACTTAAGCAAGCTGAAGCAAAGGGAAAACAGAGAGTTAATCATATTAAAACTGAAGGAAAATAAAGCTTAGATTATTAGTTCTAGGGTTCGAGAATTACCCAAAAAGACCATGCGATGCTGTAAACGATCATCTGCATTCGACCCCAGAAATTATATGGAACATAAGATCAATGGAACGTTTGATCATGTCACAAGAATCATATGATCAGACAATAAATGTATCAGATATCAATGGAAGGTGTTAGCTTACATGTGCACAGTTAAAGAGAAGCCCTATGGCCAGCAATTTCTCTTCACCAAGAATAGGAACTAGTATGGGCATGAGAAGGAGCTGAAATGATTGCTTTGAGTTTCAGATCAACAGAAAAGAAAAAATTGCAAATAAAAATGAATCAAATGGCTAAAATCACATGCCTGGGAAATGGTCCCTGCAACTCCAGTAATGACCATTAAATCAGCAAACTGGTTTTTGTTGAAGTGAAACCTGGCCTTTAAATAGTACTGCAAAGAAAAGTTCAACTTTTTCATCTTCTGAATTGTTGTGAAAAAATGCTTATTAATATAGTATTGGAAATGTACCAGCAATGAAGCATGGAGGCCGACATCGGCAAGATTGCTGAAAAATGAAACTGCTGCTGCTTGTGAAAATGTTAAGCTTGTCTTCAACAAGGCATGCATATCCTCTATTGAAGGCATGGTTTTAAACATCTGCACTGTCTTGTCAGACTCCTCATCCTGATTAACAATGCCTTTGAGTTTTCCATCCGACATAATTGGAGTAGAAAGATTGTCGTTTACAATGGAATCAGGGAGAAAAATCCTCATGTAAACCGCTGCCAGCATCGCCATTACTGTCGCAACCTGGTGAAACGGAGACAATCAAATGAGGTTCATGTGAAAGGCATTCACATTAGAGATTAAAGGAGGGGAGAAACTAGAAACCTGGAAAGTGGAAGCAGTAGAGAGAAAACGAGTAGACAGAGTTCCGCAGACAAAGGCACAAGAGCCGATGCCTGAAAGAACCCCGAAAGCCGATGCTCGTCTACCTTCCGGAACATTGTCTGCCTGTAATAAACAACTCAAATCTCAGACACTGAAAAGCATTAGACTCAGCCTAGAAAAACAGAGAAAAAGAGGTTTACCACATAAGCAAGGGAGAGACAATGGACGCTTCCTTCACAAAACATGGCAGTGAGAATCTTGAGGATATAGTAGGCATAAAAGAAGTTCCTGCTTCTGCTGTAGGCTAATATGGCTGCCAACAAAACAATAAGCATCCCATTCAATTTCTATCTTCATCAATTATGCATCATTGTACAATTAAGGGATTTAAAGAGCGGTCATTGTATAACAGTTTCGGATGACTCTAAAACTATTGCATGACCGCATACCGTAATAACACTTGTTATATCCGCAATCACAATAAACACTACACAATTTAAATCCGTGTCGTACATCAATCCTTTATGTTACCTAATGGGATTATGGCGAGAGTGACGGGGACTGTCAGCAAAGCCTTCCTTCCATACTTATCAGAGAGATTACCGATGAGAGGCATCATCACTAGGGACCCAAGCCCGATTATCTGCATAAAATTGTACGTTCATTTGTTTTATACGATGAGATTAGAATACGGACACTACCTACTGACATTACCTATGCTGATATTAGAATGCGGACCCTACCCATGCTGGCATTAGAATGCGAAGAAGGGAAGGAAGAAAAAAAGCGGTGTATCTGACATTACAAGGTTGAAAAAAATGTGTGACCTCACACAGACAAAACTGAATGACCCCAAAAAGAAATGTTCTTCACTCGAACCAAGGGGAAGTTTCCTTTGATTGCTCTCAAACAAACTTGTCCCTATGCTAAAAGACTCACGTCCTAGGAACCTGTAACATTAACCTCGAAAAATGTAGTCAAACGTAAAATACATATTCGGTTGCAAGGGCTGAGGGGCTCCGTCGATGGCAAGCAGCGACCGCCTAGCCTTGGCCCCTCCCCTAAAATCTAACGTAGAATTGTGTTTTGAAATGTCTTACCAACTGATAAATGGTATAAAACTGGCGTCGATAATTACCATGAATGCATGCAATGAGTTTCGAGAAAAAAAAAAGGAAGAGAACTGAGTTGTGACCGAGTACCGCTTGTTGAATCCCGGTGAGGAAAATCGCTAGTGAGCATTCGGATTCTCCGGGACAAAGAGCAAACATGGTGATATCGACGATGACGGGAGCCGCCATGAAAGTCGCAAAGATATGAAGAAAGAATGTTATACAAAGATGGGTGAAAGCCGGTAACCTTACCATTTTTTACTGTCGTTTTTGTCTAGCAGCTCGGAAAAATCAGAGGAAAAAGGTTGAAGAAGAGAGTGTTGGAAGTGGGATGAAAATATTTGGCTCCTCACTTGTTAAAACACTTTTCCGAAGTTAACAACGTAAGAAGGAAGCACCCATTGGTACATATCAAATTTTCACTGTTGTAATAATTCTAGACTGACACCACACACAAAGCAATTCGATGTTCAAGCGGCGTTGAAACATGGGATAAACCGACTCGACCAAAAATTTGGCTGACATTTTTATGTTTCAATGCACGTTTTGTAAGGGTGTGAAAAGTTGGATTAATTCTGAATTAATCCACCAAATCAAAAAAATTGATTAATAATTAAAATTGGTTTAACTAAAGATCTATTAAAAGATTTTTAAAATTTTAATTATGGATTAATTTAATAAAAAATTGAACTCAACTTGTATAAAATATATTAATGTATTTGAAGATGGAAACAAAATTAAGCATCGAGAAATCAAATACTTAAAATTTGTTTGGATAGACTAATTATTTTTTTCAAATATTTTAATTTGATTAACAGCTTATATTTCAAAATTTTAATTAGTTGGGTTACTGTTAATTGAGTTAGATTTAACACCCATCATGCTACTGTTTCAACATTTCCACCAATTTCGATGTTTACAATTGCTTGAATTAACATAGTGGCAAACACTTTAAAGGTATTAAACGATAGTGACACATTTATTCATTATTGCTGGTGACTTGTGTGTCACTCCACTACGCATTTCCCCTTTGGGATGGGTACTAAATCTAATAGTTTCGATTGACCTAGTTTTGTAAGATCCTTTTTTTCTAAAAATAATTAAAATTAAATAGTAAAAATATCTGACCCACTTTGAGATAATAATAATTTTTTTTTTATTTTTATAAATAAATAATATTTGTATCTTTTATATATTTAGAGATAATTATAATAATATTATATATATATATATATATATATATATATATATATATTCTTAGATTAGGTTCTGTTGATAGAATAAATTTGATTTGCTAGTCATTGACGGTTCACCATTTATGAATTGAATGGAGAATCGTGATTCGATGAGGAAACGACTATTGATCGATGTTTTTATATTGTAGAGGGATGATTATGATGAGGATGAAAAAGGAGGAAGAAGGAGGAGGAAGGTGATTGGTAAAAATGGCATCTCCATTTTTAGCTATCTAGAGGAATATTTCTAATGATCTTTAGAGCATGTGTTAATCGTAGGTTAATAGACTATCAATAGGTAAACGGACTAGGAAAATTTGTAGGTCAAACCTTGGATTCTGCTTTAACAGATCACGTGGACCTATCAGGAATTTATTTGTCAAATGTATTATCTATGCATTGTAATATACCAAAAGTATAGTTTTTAGGGATGTAGGTAAATAAGAGACTTAGAGATTTCTGGATGTCGTCATTTAAAGGTCGAACGAGTTCATATTTTATTGAAAAAATTGAGCCTTATATATGTGTGTGTCGAATCGGGCGTAGATTTCTGCCTTAAAATTAAGTCAGATTTTGGGTAAAATGAAACCTCCTAAGATTTAAAATGAATCAATTAATGACAAGAAAAAAATGATATTCATATAAAATTTAAACAGATCAAAAACTCAACTTAATCTTATCTATTTTTCATCATTAATACTATCATTTTCAGAGACCATGAATTACAGAAAGAAACTTATTTCAAGCCTAGAGGCAAAAGAAAACTATGCACCTAACATTTATTAAGACAAAAAAAAAAAGTTTACTTAATTCTTAAACAAAATTTATGTAGATGTTTATAATTTATATGATTGATCAATTATGGTACATGAAAGTTGGACGGAAGATTTGTCGTTGGTCCACATCTTCTATGGGGTTGGCGCATAAAGGGCTCGAAAGTAAAAAGCAACTTCTTGAAAACTGAAACTTAAGGGGAAATTTCGGGTAATGAGTGAGACAAATGAAGTTTTTAACTTTTTGCCATTTGAATGTATCCTTGCTGCTTCCTAATGCTGTGAAGTATTTACTTTACAAGCTACATCTTACTCTCCGATTAACATTAATTGCCCATGTACTTTAATTAAATGTAATTAAGGGCATCTTGAACTTTAAGATACTCAACTTGTATATGGCAATGACCAAGTAGCTTTACGCATTGAGCTATATCTCAAAGGACGTAGTCAAAGATGTAGTTATGATTTGGAATAAAATATAATTTTTTAAGAGGAAGATAAATTATATAATTTTAAATTATTATATAAACTAAAAGAAAAATTTGGAGATAGATGGGAGACGGAGGAGTCTCTTCCACTTATAAAAAAATATCGTCAGAGTATATAATTAGGAATTGGTTCTATAGTATATATTCAATTCGTATTACTTTTTAAATATTTTTAATGTTTTTATAATGTTGTAGTTTATATATTCATAATAAAAGAAATCTAAAGCAAAACTAAGTTTGAAACAACATATATATAAACCAATGCAAGAAAGAAAATAAAACTTAAAGAAGACATTATGGTTACCGCATGTTGTAACCCGGAGGTGTAAATGGCGATAGAGCATTCATCTTGTCCGGGACAAAGCGCTGCCATTGTAACATCCGTGATGGCGGGAATCACCATGAACGTGGCGAAGTTATGGAGGAATATGGTCATGAAGAGGTGGCTCAGCCCCGACATTTTCTCCATTGCTCTCTACCCCCCGTCTCTCTCGTTTCTCTCAACTTGTCTCTGAAGCAAAAGCTATAAATAAGGAGAGAAGCACCGAAAGGGACAAAAGAAAGGGGGGGGGGACTAAAGCAAGGTCCCTCAAGCTACAAGCAAACACTTCCAAAGCAAGAAAGTGGTCGAGGACAACGTTGGTTTAAAGACAAAGTGAAGTAGTGTATAAACTTTGCCGTTTTATTCATCAATGTTCCTTACAAGTCCGTCGTTTTTCGTAGAACGGATTGTTGTGTCGATTTCGAGGAAATGATCCACAAATCAGTACAAAAAAAGGGGGGCTTAAAATTTCAGGGGAAACAGGAATGGAAGAAAATTGAAAAGAATTTTAACTGTTAAAAAATTAATAATGTCATTAAACTTTTAAAAAAATATTATTTAGTCTCATCATGTACAAAGTATGTATGCGGAAGGTATAAACGTGTTTAAAAATATATTCATATATTATCAATATACTTTATATCAGATTTACATTAATATATTTAACATTCAAATTGACGATTAAATTAAAGAAAAAAATTAGTTGATATAATATAAATATTTTAATAACTTAATAGGGTATTATGAAATTTTGAAAATAATTTCAAATTTGAGTAATAATTTAGTGAAATCAATCATTTTGTTTCTGTTTTTATTGATGCGGCAGTCATCAGTACTGTAGCAAAGGCGTAGGAGAAATGGTTTAAAAGTGGGGGATAAAAATTTAAAACTTGGGAATAAGGGCCACTGGCTTCGAAGCGTGCTGCTGTTGTTTACGCTTCAAAGCGTGCAAGCATGATTTACGCTTCAAAGCGTGCAAGCATGATTTACGCTTATTCACTTGGATTACCAAATACACACTGTCAAAATTTATTTGATTAAGTTTTCAATTATTTTTTATTTCCCTTTTATTACTTTTAAGAGTTAAAAATATAATTATAAAACTTCAAATAAAATAAATCTAGAGAAAAGTTACATATAATAAAATTTAAATCAAAATAAATCTGGAAAAAAATACGTATTATAAGATTCAGATATTAAACTTTTGTTTTAGTTTGATAGCTTTTGCTTGTTCGGATAAATAAATTGCATTTATCAAAAAAATATTAAACTTTAAAACTTGATTATTAAATTAAAACCTCATCAACTCCTTTAATTAAAGGGCGTCTCGTGAACTTTAATGGTATCTCTGGTTTCCCATAAATCCATACTTTTGCTATTTAAAGATTGCGTAACCCATAATTATAGTTGATGTTTCATGTTTCAATGAAAACATTGCATTAAATACAGTCTCTTATTTATTAATTAATTAATTAATTTAGGCGCATACTATAAAGATAATGACAATCATTATAATTCAGTTTGTTATATTCATAAATATCAAGATTTAAAATCTCGATCTTACTTAAAAAATTTAATGTCTCAGTAAACCAATTAGTTATTGACTCTAAAAAGAACTAATCATATGAGTTCATTAATCATACCCTATTATAGATAATCATACATAGATATTATTTCTATTTTTAATTAATTTTATACATTTTTCATTTTGTTAAAATTACATTTTTTAATTTTTTATATAAGAAAATTGTAATATAGTTTAATAAGTACATCATTAAATTATATATTATTATAAATTTAATTTTTACGTCATTTAAATTATATAATATATTAAAATAAAATAATAAATATAAAAAGGGTCCCGTATAATATTAGGCTCAAAGTTTGTGCTGTCCAAGATGCTGGGTGGGTTTTAAAGTAAAAGTTTGGTACTAAGGCCTGCAATTTTCAAAGTTAAACTAAAACCCAAACGGTTCGTTTTGTATAGGAGCCCAATCGATTTCTATTTATCAGCCTCTCGGATATTTAGATTAGTGAGAACCTTAGAATGATTGGCACTGTGCAATGGATTGGCAAAAATCAAGCCAAGTGATGAAAAAAATCTAGGTCAATTTTTTATTAGTACCTATATTATACATAAATTATGAATTTAATCTATGTATTCTAATGTAGTCAATTTTAGTCTTGTATTATGATTTAAACAATGTAGAGATAATATGATTAAATTACAAAGACTTAAAAATGATCAAAGTGGAGAAGAAAAGTTAATTGTACAACTTACAAAGCCTTTTTTTTAATGACTATTGTTTTCATGATGGAAATTTCAAAATTTTGAAGACGGCATAGATAATAAATGATTAAATTAGAGTATATAGATTAAATCTAAAATTTGTAAATACTACAATGAATAATACAATAATTTAACCAAATATCTAACGTCCAATTCCAAAGTGCTCAAAGGTCGTATCCAATGAAAATGCAGAACATAGAAAGAAGACATTGTGGATAAAATGAACCCAACAAACCAAAACGAGTGGTTACCATTTTTGGTCGACAAGATTTTTAGATTATTTACATCATAAGCCCAAAATCTCTTCTGTTCCCGACCAGTTTGAGAGCTTTGAGAAGAGAGAGTTTAATGGCTGCGGCAATCACAAATTTCTTAACTAAGCCACCACGCACCGATCTTCATTTCATCCCAAAAGCCACTTGTCCTAGCTCCCATGGTTCCTTTCTACCACCTTTTGTTTCAAAGCCGAGACCATTTTCAACAAAATCACTCGAAAGAAGCAAACCCCCACGATTCATCACCAAGGCTACGGCTGCACCAGGGACAAGGAAAGCTCCGAGCGACGAGAGGGTAAAGCAGGTCCACAGCGTAGAAGAGTTCGATGAAGCTCTTAAATCGGCTAAAAACAAGCTTGTGGTGGTCGAATTCGCGGCCAGCCACAGTTACCACAGCAGCAAGATATACCCATTCATGGTGGAACTCAGTCGGACCTGCAACGACGTTGAATTTATCCTGGTGATGGGCGACGAATCGGACAAGACGAGAGAGCTTTGCATAAGAGAAGAAATAAAGAAAGTGCCACACTTCAGCTTCTACAAAAGCATGGAGAAAATCCACGAAGAGGAAGGGATTGGTCCGGACCAGCTGATGGGTGACGTGTTGTACTACGGTGACAGTCATTCGGCGGTGGTTCAGCTACACTGTCGGGAGGACGTGGAGAAGCTGATCGAAGATCACAAGGTGGACCACAAGCTGATAGTTCTTGACGTGGGACTCAAGCATTGTGGGCCGTGCGTGAAGGTGTATCCGACGGTGATAAAGCTGTCGAGGCAGATGGATTCAGTGGTTTTCGCGAGGATGAACGGTGATGAGAACGACAGTTGCATGCAGTTCCTGAAGGACATGGACGTAGTGGAGGTTCCCACGTTTTTGTTCATTAGAGATGGTGAGATTTGTGGAAGGTACGTGGGGTCTGGGAAAGGAGAACTTATTGGTGAGATTTTGAGATACCAAGGGGTTCGTGTTACTTATTAAGATTGATAACTCTAAACCTATATATATGTCATCCTCATTGATGTTGAAATTTATGAATTTTCACTAGTGTAAAACCGCAATTTTACTTTAATCATAACTCATCATCATTAAATATTTACTTTCCCGCTTAACCAAACACAGAAGAAAATTAGATATTCTCGTATAAGATTTATTCGAATTCCAATAACATAGCAATTGATAAACATAGTTTAATTAAATTCATATCCATTCTCTTTTCTATTATTGTACCGTTTTCATTGAGAGGGACAAGGCTCCTCACCCGTATTTCCACCATAAATGAACTTGATGTTGGTAAAATATACTCTTGTAAAACAATATATTAGAGTCAATTACTAAATTATAAATCATATAAAATAAGATAAATAAAAGAATTTATTGTATAGTATAATTTATTGTATTAAAAATAAGGTTTGAGAGTCCCTTTGCTCTTGGAGTAAACTCAATTCATCAATTTTGTCTCTGTCATTTTTTTATTAATTTAGTCTTCGAAGTTATTTAGGGTATTTATCTTATCCCTCAGAGTTCGTTTTAACTAAGTGTCCGTTACTCTTTTAAGTTTATCAACACCAATAATTTTCAAATTAATCAATATTATAAATGTGGCTTAATGATAGCGTGACATGTATTGAAAAAAATAAATAATAAAATATTTACTAAATACAACGGTTAGAAAAAATCTCTAAAAATTTGACCTAATCTCTTAATCTTAATAAAATAAATAATAAATTTTGAAATTTTGTTCTAATCATTGTGTTTAATAAAATATTTTAACTTAATCACTTAATCCATAGACAATGCCTTACACTTCTTTAGTCAAAACGGTCAACGGACTTCAAGAGCTAAGATGAATATCCTATACAACTTCAAGGATTAAATTGATGAAAAAATGATACGGGCTTATTACAGGAACAACAGTAACCTTTAAGCGTAAAAATAATTTCATCAAAATTGATGTAATTATAAAAGTGAGTGTTGCGTTCCAAAATCACCAATCTTTCAAATTATGTACATTCTAGATAAAAAGAATAAAACTCGAATAACATTTTTTGACTTTTTGAAGAAAAAGAAAATTGAGAAAGAAACACCAGAAAAAAAAGGAGATAATAATGGAGAAACAAACGATTCTACTGTGCAAACAAATAAAGAGGGAGTACAATTTATAGGAAAAATTGATGGAGCAAAAAGTCCAAACAAAATAGGGCGGTAAAAATCACTCTCTTATCAAGATTAATTACAATTTATAACGTTACAAGGGTCATTTTATAACAATTTAATAAATTCAGTAATTATTTTGTAACATTTGAAAGTTTAATGGTCAAAACAATATTTTGACATAGTTCGATGACATCTAATGAAATTTATCATATTTTTTTCATGTCTTCTTTATGTTGGACAAGCCTGTGTCCAACACCACAGATATATAAACTTAAACCAACTCGAGTCTTTTTTCTTAGCAATTCAAGTCTTAACAATAGGTTTGAATGACAAAATATCGACCTGAAAATAATGTTCTAGGAAAATCTTATGGCTTTCTCAAAATAAATAATACTTAAATATCTAAAATAATCACAGGGCATGAAACTTGAATGAAACATATCTTGTGCATTGCAGTAGTTAGTAAAGAAGCCATTCACCAAGACTGAGCTCCGGGATGAGGCAGTGCAGCAAATTCAAGTTCTTTTATTGGCTGGGCTTGTTGCATTCAAGCTTCACGACTGTAGAATGCATCAAGTGTCTTCGCAGGTATACGATGGAGAAGTTCACGAGGAAAGATACGAAGCAGGGTCCATGCTAGATCAAGTGACTGGAAGATGTTGCGAGTATCGTATGCACCTTGTGTGACGAACTTCCTCTCGAATTTGTCCAGGAACTCCAGATAAAGCTGTACCATTGACAATAAGGATAAAATCAAAATGCAACTCTCAACACAGAACTCTATGTTTGATATAGCTTGTCCATGCATAACGTTGACTTCCCATCCAAAAACACACGTGCATGCAAAATCGAGAGAGAGAGAAGCAAACCAGATCCTCAGAAGAAAGTGCTTCCTCTCCAACCACGGCTTTCATTGCTTGAACATCTTTTCCAATAGCGTAATTTGCATAGAGCTGAAACCAAGAATAGCAGGGTTTCAGTATGAATATTAATAATACTAATACTTATGCTAGAAGGACCCTTGTTAACCTGGTTGGACACATCAGCGTGATCTTTACGAGTCATCCCCTCTCCAATAGCACTCTGAAACATACACAACAGAAAAAATGCTTAGCACAAACTCCTAATTTATGCAGTTTCTTGCTTCTCATGCAAGATGAAATGATTACTAGTATTAGTCATACCTTCATTAATCGAGAAAGTGAAGGGAGTACATTAATTGGTGGGTATATCTGTTCAGAAAATAAATAATAATAAGATAAAGAAAATACACATCTTCAAACTTAGACACTGGCATTTCATATGGAAATGAAAACCATTAGGCAACTTAGAACTTATTTGGTATGCTCGATTTCTTATCAATTCAATACCGCTGACAATGTTATTCGAACAACAATTTTTCAGTAATGTCAAAACTGCATATGCTACTGTAGATTTTAAAACTACACACTCGATTAACAATAATGAATATCATTTCAGTCACCTGTCTATTGTAGAGCTGTCTATCAATGTAAATCTGTCCTTCAGTAATATAACCAGTAAGATCAGGTGTAGGGTGGGTAATATCTGGTTAACAGAAAATAACCAACCAAATATTATATCAGATACCCAATAAAACTAAAAAGAATACTGTATTGTGCCAATATGCCTCTTACCATCATTAGGCATGGTCAAAATAGGAATCTGGGTGATGGAGCCTTTTCTTCCTTCTATACGCCCCGCTCGTTCATAAATTGTGGCCAGATCAGTATACATATAACCAGGATATCCACGCCTTCCAGGGACTTCTTCACGAGCGGCAGACACCTAGAGGCAGAGGCACATACAGAGCATGATGAATGATGCAAGTCTAGCATTGGTGGTATACAATGCATTCTAACGGAGCATCAATGGATTAGTTTGTCAGATTTAAGGAATTCTAAATCCCTATCAAGTGGATTACATTCACTTTCCAGCTCCATAAGAAAAAAACCTACAGAAGATCTTAAGAAAACAAAATTGCCTTCAACTTCTGTGTTAAAACTATAGAGACATTCAAAAAGCACAAACAGAACTCTGTCAATAAGCAATAACTTGAGAACGAAATTGTGTGCCATATGTATCCTCCCAACTAAACAGTTACAAAGCATATGTACCTCACGAAGAGCATCAGCATAAGAACTCATATCTGTCAATATAACCAGAACATGTTTCCCACATTCATAAGCCAAATACTCCGCAGTTGTGAGGGCAATTCGAGGTGTGATGATTCGTTCAATTGTGGGGTCGTTTGCCTGTAAACACATCAAACAGAGCAGTTCAAGAGGGGGGAGGGGGGAATGTCATCTTCATGGGAAAAGGAATTCAAAATGGCATGAATATATAACTTGAATCAATTTACTGAATAAGAAAAATGCAGGGAGAATTAGATCAATTAACGGAAATTACCAGGTTCAAGAAAAGGGTCACTCTCTCCATAGATCCATTTTCCTCGAAATCCCTCTTAAAAAATTGAGCCGTCTCCATATTCACCCCCATAGCAGCAAACACGATGGCAAAATTGTCTTCTTCTTGGTGATCCTAAAAGTTCAATCCACAGAATGGGATGATCACAAATTTGAGAGTGGAATAAAAGAAACTAGCAGGCATCTAGCTTCAAAAAAAATGTGTATTGGTTCCTTTATGCACCAAAAACAAAAATTATTGTCATCCAAGAAAAAACCATGAACATCTGTAGACATACATCAAGGAGATTATCAGACTTTTCCAATCGTTTTACGAGGCCCGCCTGACGACAGATTTGAGCAGCTATCTCATTATGAGGAAGACCAGCAGCAGAGAAAAGAGGAATTTTCTGTCCACGAGCAATGGAGTTCATGACATCAATTGTTGATATCCCAGTCTGAATCATCTCTTCAGGGTAAGTCCTCTCACTAGGATTGATAGAACTCCCTGAGAAAGACAAGGGACAGATTTTAACATCAGTAACATAAACTTACTCATCTGTTAACTACTAGAATACCAAAGTTTGCTGAATACAATTACCAGAAATATCTAGATATGCCTCAGGCAAAATAGGAGGGCCATTATCAATGGGTTTTCCAGAGCCGTTAAAGATGCGACCTAGCATATCCGATGAGACAGGCGTTTTCAAAACCTGTAAAACATACATTAGAAGCGGTACAACAGTCAAAATCCGGAAGAAAATGACTAAACTGGCAACCTTAACTTTTGCAAAAGTTTTAAAATCGCAAACAATAATGATTCAATATGTCAATCATGGATGATTAAAAAAATCCCTATTTTAGAAAGCTCAGCCTCGTTCATTTCTTAACTATAATATTTCTATGAGAGAGCTCCAAGCAAATATATTAGTCACAAAAGGAAAAACAAAAAGGTTTAGCATCTAAAAACACAGTCATAAGTTCAACTCATAACTAACATTTCAAAATAGAACACTTAGGTTTGAAAGATCCCATGAAGGTAACAATTCTATCTACCATCCCAGATTTACAAGCCATGATAGAATGAAACCTACAGCACCAAAGAGTTGCAGACTTATTACCTCTCCTGTAAATTGCACTGTTGTGTATTTGTTATCAATTCCAGAAGTTCCTTCAAAAACCTGTAAATGGAGGGGGGAGAAAGGATAAATGCTGCAGTCAAAACCAACTCAGACTCGATTCACACCAAATGCTCCCAAAATTTGTATCTAATGGTAATGATATAATTAGATTCCGTAAATGATATATAGAAATTTCTATCACTATGTTATTCTACTACTCTTTTATTGATCCACAAAACAGCAATCAAATCTTGAGATCTCTCATCCTATAAAATATGCTAGGACAAATACCTGCACAACTGCTTTCTCTCCATCAACTTCCAAAACTTGACCTCGTCGAGTTGTTCCATCACCTAAACGAATATTGACAATCTCCTGAAACTTCGGACCCTGAAACATATAAAAAAATTATGCATTATATAATCAAACAACTAGCTATTAACACTAAAGGCAAACTATTAAGATATGAAGGAGCAAACCTACCTTAACTTTGTCAAGAATGACCAATGGTCCAGCAACACCAGACACGGTTCTATACTCTGCAAACCAACAACCTCGATTTAATCTTTTAGATAATCCTCACATCAACAAAATAACAATAAATTCTCACCAAAGCATCCCTTAGCCTCAGATCATATCAACGAAAAAACAGAAAGTAGGTGCTTAATTAAAAAATTAAAGAATTAATTGTCCACCTTATGCTCAAGAGTGCGTTAATACATCGAACCATTGAAGACATATTTCATGAATTTAAACGTATTACGTAACCAACAGACTAAAAGATTAAAAACAGAACCATTCCAGCATCATAATTTTTTATTTGATAATAGATCGAAAAAAATCGAGATTAGGCAATGATCAAAATCCAGATTTAAGGCAATGAATGTAAAATGAATAAGTTACCCATTCCGATCTCCAGATTTCCCTCCTCCGTGTCAACGAAATTCTTTTCCGCGCCCATCTTCAAGTTCAAAGCTGATTATAAATTAACAGACGTAAATAAGAAGAAGAATAAACAACCAGAAACTTATATCACTATTCACTACACTGAATCGGACAGTCTTTTAAGCAGATCAAAAGAAACTATAAAATTCGAAATCGCTGTTTCAGATCCAAACACGTCACCGTCGTTTTGGGGTGGCTAGTGCTTGAATCGAAATCAGCAAAGGGTTGACAGCAGTACATTCTTACCTCGATTATATTCTGGAAAAAGCTAATGAGAGAAATTCATCCAAAATGAGAAGCTATATCAGATTTGAGTTGGACAGCTCCACCGCGCAAATGATAAGAAACTGTGAATGTGTGATATGAAAATAAATGGAGAATTTAAGCACTAACCTGCAAATAATTTGAGATTAGGAACGCGTTATAAAGTCTTAAAATTAATTTTAAATAATATTTTTCATTGAAATATATTTTCTTTTTCATAATATTTCAATGGATTAAACGTCTAAATAATTATTTATTGATGGATTCTTTTAATATTTTTTTATATATTAACTTAAATTTTATTTGCAAATCTAAATCTAAATTATCAATTTATTTTATTTTGAATAATTTAACTTAAGAGTTTAATTTACTAGAAAAATCATATCAAATTTATTTTATTTTTTATGCAATCAAATTTATTTTATTTAAAGCTTAATGTTTAAATAAATTAAAATTATTTGTTATCTACGTTTATGAGATATAAGAGAGTTAATGTATTTGTACTTCTAATTTTTACTTTTATAATGAATTATTTATTTATTTTATCTTTTAAATTAAATAAAACCAAACTACCTTTCATCTCTTTTTTATGTATGTCTAATTTATGTTGATCATACTTTTAATTATTTTCCTATTTACAAATTTTCAAAACATTCTATGAAGTTTCTGTATACCAACAAAAATTAAAATTTATAGTGAATGTAAAGTACACATTTGCCGAAGGGTTGTACTGCTTGAAAGTATGTTTGGTTTAAAAAATTATTTTCTATTTTTATTTTTAAAAAATAATTATTATTTACATTTTTTTGAAAATTAGAAAACATGTTTAATTAATATAAATGAAAACTTGAATTCATAAATAAAAATAATAAAATATATTTCATATCTAGTTTTGTTAAAATAGAGAAAAACAAATAATTATTAAATAATTAAATTAAGATATAACTATTAAAAAATGATTATATAAACATGAAAGTTATGTAAATATAAAACAATAAAGTTGATAAGAAATTTCATAATAAAAAAATTATTTTAGTTTATAATAAGAATATAATGTTAATCCCTATTAGATATAAACTAAATTATATATATATTATTCTACGCAAGAGTTCACAAAAGTTTCATTAAAATAAAAAATATGTTTAGTTATATTTAAGGCCCTTAAAATTTTGAGGGAAAAACTAATGTAGTTTCTGAATTTTTTTTGCACTTAATGTGACTCTTAAACTAAAAAAAAATCAACATTCTAACCAACGAGATCAAGTGTTGATCGTCACGACGCTTACATGACAATTCACAAAGCTATTGTGGTAGAGTACGATGGACGAGAATGTGGTAGATGGATTTAATTGATTTTTTTCTAAGTTCGAGGGCATAATTGATTTTTTAGAAAGTTTGAAGACTTATTTATTTTTCAGAAAAAACAAGAAATTGTTTAAACTTAAAATATAAACGATTATTAAGATATTCAATATATTAAATATAAAAAATTACAAAATTAAATTATTAAAAAAAATTCAATTTACGGACTACAAAGAGTATAAAAAAAATCAGTGACCGTATTGATTTTTTTTTTTAATTTGAGGGTGTCAAATACTATTAATTCAAAAAACTACTGTTAAAAAAATTGGACACATGTAAGTTAAGTTAAAAATCTAGATTCTATGTTTTTCTATTTTGTAAAATTTAGAAACAATTTTAATAAAGATATTGAAAACATTTTTTTATATTTTCACATATTTTTGTTTTTATATTTTTAAATTTTTCTAATTTTACAACGAAACACGTTCTCTTTAATGTTTTCTATATTTGAAGAAAATAAAAATAAAAATTACTTATATTTTTTAGAATCTTAAATTTTGAATTCAGATCCAACTCTTCTCGGTTACTAGAAAAATAAAGGATTTGGCTCTTTTCTAGGTATATTTTGATATAGTTTGAGATATGTTTTATTTATTCTATAAATTTTAATTATTAATTTAATTATGGTGTATATTTAATCATTTTTAATAAGTATTAATGTCAATTAAATTAATATTTAATTAAACTAAAACCATGCACTTAAAGAAAACTATAATTACAAATTAAAAATAAATTGTCTTCAAGTAATGTTATTTTCCGGACTATATATGTTTAGCATCATAAAAATCTAATCTTTTATATATTACAATTGAGGAGGGAGATATTCAGGGTTCTAAATTTAAATTTTAAAGTACTAATGCGGAAATTTTAAATTTTTTTATTAATCAAAGATAACCTATAAGTAGGGCATGGGACTCGAATCTGATGGGTTTTGACCCTTTTCAAGTCGATTTTTTTTAAATTGAGTTTAGATTGGGTTCGAGTTTAGGGTGAAAAATATCCGATCCGACCTAAACTGAGAAAAACGTATAATTTTACCTTTATATTTAAGAATAATTACAATAATACCCTCTCTATATTATTTTTCAATTAAATCTGTATTTTTATTGAATAAAAATAATATTTTTTAATAAATATATTATTTTGATCGGGTTTTGATTTTATCTCAAAACGTCGGGTTGGGTTCGGGTCGGGTGGATGGTATATATTTTTCGGGTCAGACCCAAGTGGAGAATGTATAATTTTTGGGTCGGGTCGTTTTGACCGAAAATCCGACCCGACCTATGCCCATCCTTAAGTGTAAGTAATATTTATTCTAAAATTTTTTATTTATTTGACAATAAAAATTCTAATACCTTTATAATTTATAGTATTCGAAACTCAATACTCTAAAAATAACAATCGCCTAAACATCAACAAAAAAATTCAATTATTTTCAATTATTAAGATGATTTGTCATATTTTTGTCTTGTTTTTATTTTACATATTTAAACTATAATATTTTATTTATTTTTAATTTTTCATATGAAAATGATAAATAATTCATCTAAGGATGATAACAAATAAATTAAGATGGAATTTTGATTGTCTCAACTCAAAATTTAAGAATTTTAATTATATTTTGATTTTAATATAATTTAATCTATAATTTAATAAATAGATTACGGCGCCACATCGAGTTGAAATCTATTAGAGTTAGGATGTTAGATTTGACATTACGTCTTTAATTAACATTTATTTTGTTATTTTATTGATCTATCTTTAATTTTGATTATCTAACTAGTTCTCTTTTATCGATATAAGTTAATGTTCACGGTGTTTTTTACTATCAGTAATGATATTTGCTTGTATCATTTTTTTTTTTCAAATGTTTGACACACTTTATAAATAAAGTTGCTTAAATTTAAATCTTATAAAGAAATAACAATCTCTTTAACTATTAAAACTGTTAAATAGGTTCTCATATTTTATTCATTAATAAATCATATATTTACTTTGATTTTTTCAAAGAAGATAATTAATTAATGTAACTTATTCTACTTTCATTTTATAATAAGTTTACAGTTTTATTTATTTTGTTTTTATTTTAAAAAGTTAATCATTATTATTTGTTAAAAAAGATTTTGAAAGAAAAATGGCAGCCTATATATATTTTTAAAATAAAATAAAGAAAAATTCAAAACATGGAAACTGTGAAGAAGTTTCATATGTAGTATAAAATATGGAAACTGATTATAGTTTTATTTGAATTTTTGATGTTGAGCCTTTAGCAATTTGTCATCTACGGGCCATGGCTACGTGAAAGGTCTATTCACAGCCCAAATTATTGATCTGGCATCGAATTCTGAAATAACAATTTCATTTTAACTTTTCTTTTTACCATAAATTATAGATTAAATAGTATATTGATTTTAAAATATATATTAAAAATATAAAAATACTAAATCAATAATAAGATACAATTTTAGAGTTAAAATACTTCTAACCCTGTAATTATCGATGAATTATAAAAGTATACGTTGATTTTCATGGCATTAGCTCATTAGCTACAATAACATATACGAAAGCTAAATCAGCGACAATTTTGGCATTATATAAACGCCAGCTCAAAGCTTATCTGTCTTCAACCGAGCCAGGGTCCACAGCTCTCATGCACCTTGGGTGCACCTCGTAGCCACACCCCAAGCACTGGTAAGCCCAACCAGACCCTTGCTCATCACAATCGCAGCATATAAACGGCCCTCCTCCATTGCCTTCGGACACCAAAGTAAGCTCATGGCGATGACCCGCATGATAATCGGTTCTAGGCAATCTCTTGGCTTCCTCCTCCATTTCTTTCTCGAGCAACTCCAGTTTCGCATCCGTGAAAGGGTATGCATTTTCCTGATATAGATTTATAAGGTTCCTGCCTTGCTTGGTCACGGTTTTGCCGTCCGGGCCTATGATTATCAAGCACGGAATGCCTTGAACGTCGAAATATTTCGCAAGGTTTCTTATCGTCGGTTCTCCGAAAGGCAACGCTAGCCATGGCATGGTAGCGTAGTACGAGACGAAGGAGCTTTGATCTCGATCAAAAGACACGAAAACGATCTCGAAATCCTCGTCGCCGCCTTTCTCGTCAAAGCTTTGCTTGATTTTGTGGTAGATGGATATCAGTTTGGGAGTAAACTTGGCGCATGGAATGCACCATTCTGCCGAGAAGTAGAGCCCGACTGTCTTACCTATCACGGAATCAATTGGCACCTGCAAAGTAAATACATAAACTTATACGATACTCATTCAAAATCGAGTATATAACATGCGCATATCAATGGCATGCAAATGAGGTCTAAATCACTGACCTGTCTGGTTAAGGTTGGATCCAAAAGATAGTCTCTTCCAGAGTTGGTTAATAAATTAGTCAAGGTCTGACTCTCATGCTTCATCCTCTCTTCCCTTTGCAACTCCTCTAACTTTTCTTTTGTAAATGGGAAGGCTTCAACGCCATACTTGTAAATTAGTTCTACACCATCATGTAAAGTCGAACCATCGGGCTGCAAGATAATCAAGCAAGGAATGCCTTCGACATCGAATTGTCGGTTCAACGTTTTCTTTGTCTCCAAATCAGCATATGGAATCGAAAGCCAAGGCATGCTTTCCCGGTAACCATTGAAGGCACTCAAATCTTCGTCGGATGACACAAAAACAACCTCGAAATTACACCCGTTGCTCTTCAGCTGCTCGTACACACCAATCAACAAGCTGTTGAAGTTTCGACAT